TGTCAAAAACTGGATTAAGAGCTCTCACCTGTCTTTCTTTTCATCAGCCTCACGTCTGCAGGCTGAGGACCTTCAAAGGACTCAATAAGCTCACGAATCTGTAGGAGATTTTGATCCAACAGTTAAAATTTTCATAACTTGGCAGACAAAAGTCACAGAAACCACCTACCTTGCAGTACCATGAAAGAGATACACAAAACAATGTTTTCAACACGATCTCAAAGACAAACAAAACATTTGCTGAGAACCCAACAGGGCACTGATGAGCATCAAAGTCCACGTAATCTTTTGCTACAGACTAAACCAACTGTAATCCTCACTCAGAACACTGAATCACCCAGAACCCCAATCCCTACGATTGTGTGTTCTCAAGATTATTTGGTCAGGATTTGGCAAAGACTGGGCATGAGCCCAAGATTTTAAAAAGAACTCTCCCTGCATGTCTAGAAACCCTTTGCTCCTAGCACTGAAAAACAAGAAGCCTGCACTGCAAGGCTCCATGATGAATGTATTCCTAAGCCTCATGCTAAAGAGCTCATCATCTAGCTGACTCCCATCGGTTTTTCGGGATAAAGTAGATTTGTGAAGAACGTGTCAAGGAAAAAGCTGAAGAAATGTCATTTCTTCCAGTGTAACAGAGATGGCAGCCTCAGCCACTGTGCAGAGGCATGGAGGAAAAACAAACACAAATTCTCTTATTCTAGAGCAGAAGACACAAGGTTTTTCAGCAGCTTTCACAGAATTCAAACTACAATAGATGAAACAGGGCTGCTCAGCAGAATCAAAACTTATCTCAAGCTGCCCATTTACATGCTGACTGGAAATAATATCAGATATGCAAGTCAATTTTTCTTATGAAAAATGGAGAAGAAAAAAGAGAATTGTGTACACAGCCAGAAGTTAATGTAAGAATTCAATTCTATGTTCCAAGATGCACTGTCTGCACTCTGGGTCCAGAATTCAACGTTCATGTCAATTATGCTAAAAATATTGCACAACTGTAGAGCTACACCAGTATCTAGAAACAAGAACTGCTCTAAAGTGTTCTGTATAATGTCTGACTGGGCTAATTTGTATGCAGGAACCTACATTTGATTTCAAACACTCATGAAAATGTTAGAGCAGTATATGGTGATTAGGAACCCTCAGCATCAGGAGAGTAACAAGTAATCAACAAAAAAGCAAAACAAAAAGGTCTCCATTGCAAAAATGGTGCAATGTATTCCCTGTGTTAGCAATTAAGGTGTATATACACACCGGAGGCAGAGGTGGAGTCTTGACTGAAAACAAACTGGGAGAGCTCAGCTTTTACCCCACAAATAACTATGGCTTGGTAACCAAAATACCCCAAGAAGAAAAGGTAAGCAAAAAAACCCCTAAAAAGTTACCATAGATAAGAAAACCTTCAAGCTTTAACATCTTTTTAATAAATACGTCAGACAAGCAAGCACCAAGCTCGTCAGTACTTGCTCCCTCAGCCCGGCAGCAGCCATTTTGACTCCCACAGCTGTGCCCACACAAAACAGCTTTGTGCGGGGCTGGGCTCGCCTAAGGAGCTCGGTGACTGTGTGTGACCCCATCGGTCACAAGTTCTGGCCTCGATAAAGACCAGAAAAACTGTGATTGTCACCTCTTTGTCTCTGTCCCCCTCCCCCCTCCCTGCAGCGGGGCGAAGCAGCATAAAAACCTGCCTCTTCCCTCCCACACAGAAAAGCAGCAAAGAGCAGTTTAAAATCCACTCTTAGGGAAAGCATCTGCGAAAAAACGAGTATTCACAGCTCGTTCTGTTTGAAAGGGACTGTAACATTGAATTGACCTCTATTACTTAACGCTGGGAGTTTAAATGCTTTCAGGACTCAAAATGGCAGCGCGACAGCGCTGGAGAGAGGCCACCATGATGCGGGCTCAACAAAATGGCAGCAACCGCTCCGGCACGGCCCTGCCCGGCTACTCACATCGTTCTCCGTGACCGTGATGGGGAGCCCACGCAACATGATGGTCTTGCTTTCTTTTTCATCGTTAATATCGTTCCTGTAGTCGTGCTCGCCGTAGTCGCCATCGGAATGGTACCCGTCCTCCGATTTGTCGCTGTTCCTGCGCTCCCGCTCCCTCTGGAAGCCAGCGCCCAGGGTTAGCCACCGCGACTGCCCGCAGCGTGTCCCCACAGTGCCACACGGACGGACAGACGGACGGAGGGAGGGCGGCACGGACACCGCCCGCCTGCCCGGGGCTGCTCCCCACGGCCCGCAGGATCCACCCCGCTCCCGGTGCCCCGCAGAGCCGGCCCCCGCCCCGCTCACCTCGGGGCTATCGTAGTCGCGGCTGTCGTAGTCTCTATCGTAGTCGCGGCTATCGCGGCTGTCGTAGTCCCGGCAGTCCCGACTGTCGTAGTCCCGGCAGTCGTAGTCTCGGCTGTCCCGGCTGTCGTAGTCGCGGCAGTCTCGGCTATCGTAGTCCCGGCAATCGCGGCTGTCGCGACTGTCGTAGTCTCGGCAGACCCGGCTGTCTCGACTATCGTAGTCCCGGCTGTCGTAGTCGCGGCAGTCTCGGCTATCGCGGCTGTCGTAGTCCCGGCTGTCGTAGTCTCGGCTATCGTAGTCGCGATAATCATCATAGCGGTCACCGCGGCGCTCCTCACTGGACCGCTTGTAGTCGTCCCTCCGCCGGCTGCGGGACTCCCGCTCGTCGCGGTCCTCCCTCTCCACGATAGAGCCGTAGCGGCCGCTCCGCTCCGTCCTGCTCACCCTGCGGGGCACAGCGGGCCGAGCTCAGAGCGTGAAGCGCCCGCCGCGACCCCCGCCACTGCCCGCCTCCTCCCGTCTCCCCTCGCCCTCCCGCCGCCGCTCACCGCTTGTCCGAGCCCATGGCGCCGCTCAGGATCCGCAGGCACCCGGCAGAGCTCTATCCGGCACCACACGCCGAGCACACCCGCGCAGTCCCTCTCGCTGCCTCGCCACAAAATGGCGCCTCAGGGACCGCCCGTCTTCTACCCAGCAGCCACCTCGCGCCCCGACTGGAAGCTTCCAATCGGGGCGCAGGCGCGGCGGCCGCGCGGCACGCCGGGAAATGTAGTTGGGGGTTGCCGCCATTAGGGGCCCTGCGGTCCGGCCTGCCCCCTCACGGGAGCGGGGTGCTCAGAGCTTGACTCTGACACTGCCGGGAGCGGGGCAGCCGCAGCTGCTCTGTGAAACAGGTCCCCGTGCCTCGCCACAGCGCATTTCTTCCTCGTGTCCAATCCAAAACTCTGTCAGTTTAAAGCAGTTATCCCTTGTGCTGTCACTGTGCGCCATCCAAAGCCCCTCTTCAGCCGATGTGGAGCCCCTTTAGGCACCGGAAGGGGCTCTCATGTTCCCCCTGGAGTCATCTCTTCTCCAGAGTGAAAAACCCCAGCTCCTCCCCCCTGTCAATAGCTAAAGAGTTGTCATGGCCTGCCTCAGTTAAGAGTGAATAATTTCTGTCCCCAAGGGAGGACATGGGACTGTACCGCCGCCTGCACTGCTTGGGCTCTTATGGCCAAGCCCAGGGGCTGCAAAGCCAAGCAGGCTTTGGCCCCAGCAACGTTGTCCTCTCCATATTCCCAGCACAAAGGGCACCTCTGTCCCCTTCCCGTGACACCAGCAGCAGCCCCTGCTCCTGCACAACTGCTCCTGCCTGGACCTGGGCCCTTCGGAGCACGGCACTGCTGCCAGAGGCTGCTGAGAACCCTTCAAACCACATCCAAACGCAGTCTGACCTTAGCCCTGAGAGTTTGCCTGAGACCCAAGAAAAGATGTTTAACACTCAAAATTGTGCCATTTTTATTTTTTTCAAGACAGTTTTGTTAGTCTCAGAGCATGGCGGAGTGGGGCTGACTGGAGAGCAGGGTGGGGTCAGGGTCACACCTCATCCAGGGACTGCTTGGCAGGGCAAGCAGCACAGAGCAGTCAGGGGCTACAGAGAGACTGCAGGCAGTACAGACAGACAGACAGTACAGGACAGGACACACAGGCAGTACAGAGAGTACAGACACTGCAAGCAGTACAGAGCAATCAGGCAGTACAGACAGTGCAGACAGACAGAACAGATAGTGCAGGCAGTACAGGCAGTACAAGCAGTGGAGGCAGTACAGACAGACAGGCCGTACAGACAGACAGACAATACAGGCAGTGCAGGCAGTACAGGCAGACAGTGCAGATAGTACAGACAGACAGTACAGATAGTGCAGGCAGTACAGGCAGTACAGGCAGTACAAGCAATGGAGGCAGTACAGACAGACAGTACAGACAGACAGGCAGTACAAACCCACAGGCAGTACAGACAGACAGTGCAGATAGTACAGACAGACAGTACAGATAGTGCAGGCAGTACAGGCAGACAGTGCAGATAGTACAGACAGACAGTACAGATAGTGCAGGCAGTACAGGCAGACAGTGCAGATAGTACAGACAGACAGTACAGATAGTGCAGGCAGTACAGGCAGACAGTGCAGATAGTACAGACAGACAGTACAGATAGTGCAGGCAGTACAGGCAGTACAAGCAGTGCAGGCAGTGGAGGCAGTACAGACAGACAGTACAGACAGACAGGCAGTACAAACACACAGGCAGTACAGACAGACAGTGCAGGTAGTACAGACAGTGCAGACAGACAGAACAGATAGTGCAGGCAGTACAAGCAGTAGAGGCAGTACAGACACACAGACAGTGCAGACAGTACAGACAGAGACAGTACAAACACACAGGCAGTGCAGACAGACAGGCAGTACAGACAGGCAGTACAAACACACAGGCAATACAGGCAGTACAGACAGACAGGCAGTGCAGGCAGACAGACAGACAGACAGGCAGTGCAGACAGACAGGCAGTGGAGTCCAGCAGCAGGCAGGTCTGTCACAGGGTGCATGCGCTACCCGGAGGCGTCACAGCTGTTTCCGCTGTCATCCGTGGATGCTGCCTAAGGAAAAAGTTTCTCCTCTGGGCAGGCTGCCTGGCCAGCCTGAAGGCTCTCGGCAGCTCCTCGGAGGTGGCCCTGGGCAGGGGAGAAGGTAGGACACGGCTGCTGCCTGTACCTCTGTCCCCACTGCTGTCCTCTTCAGCTGGGACTGGCAGGGGGCACAGCACACAGGGGCTGTCCGAGCCCCCTCCTGCCCAAATCAAAGCGTTTCCCTGGTCTTGACAGCAACTGGGGGGGATGACATTTAATGTCTGGGGGCATGTTGTTGCATCGTTTCCCATCTTGACTGTCCCTGGGGGTACAGAGCTGGCCGAGCCTTGGGGACACACTCCTTGGATCGGGGGTTCCTGGTGAGGGGAGGTGGGGGCACAGCTCCCCTGTGCTCCCCGTCAGCTCTGTGCCACTGGGCTCTTCCCACTTTGGGGTCTCTCATGGGCTGAAAGGGGCTGAGAGGCTCTTCCACCCACCCCGAACACAGGGACAGGACAGAGACAGTTTGTGGGCAGAGGTCCCATCCCCTCCTCCAGCCCTGCTGCGGGCTGAAGGCGGAGGGAAAGCAAGGCACAGCCCACCGGACTTTCCCGGAAGGGCAGCATAGCATTTCTCACCTCTCCCTCTGCTGTCTCCAAGGGTTTTTCTGGGGGATTAAGGCTGTGCTGACCCGGCAGCAGCAGGGGGGCTCAGTCATGGCTTCGAAGCGCCAAGCTTCTTCCTCGAAGCAGCCAGACAGCCGGGAAAAGAAACCGAAAGTGGAAGAGGAGGACGACACCTGGAGCTCCACCTTGGCAACGCTGAAAACTGCTCCCAAGGAGAAGCCGCCTGCCACAATTGATGGGCTGTGCCCCCTGAGCACAGCACCGGGTGCTCGGGTGAGAGCAGGGCTGAGCTGCTCAGAGGGGCAGGGGTGGGAGGCTTGGGGGAGTCTCAGACCTGCCCCTGTCCTGCTGACACTGGGTCAGCCCCAGTTTTCCATGCAGACCCCCTGTGTTCCTGCTGGGACATTTCTGCACCCTCTCCTTCCCCGAACGCTCCCAGGTGCCAGCCCAGGCCATGTCACTCTCTATAGGTCTATGAGGACTATGACTGCACCCTGAACCAGACCAACATCGGTGCCAACAACAACAAGTTCTACATCATCCAGCTCCTGGAGCACGATGGTACCTACAGTGTGTGGAGCCGCTGGGGCCGCGTGGTGAGTCCACCCAGGCATCGCTCATCCCCTGCACCTCAGCTGTCCCCACCCTGCCTTCAGAGCCCCAAAAATTGAGGGTGAACCTGGGGGTCCCTGGTCCCAAAGCAAGCACCCAAGTATCCTGCTATAGTTCTTTAATGGGGGGGGCTCTAAGGACTTTTCAACATAACATAGTCAGCCTGTCTGGGGCATGTGGCACCTGTCCCTGCAGTGAATGTGAGTGTGACAGCCCAGCAAGGTGTCCTGGGGTGTCTCCCTGAGCTCGTGGCTCAGCACATTCCTGCTCATTGCCCTACAGCCTTACTATCACAGCCCCCCTTGCTCCTGCCTGCCTGCTTCCACTGGCATGGGGCTGGTGGAGCAGGGATGCAGGGGAGGTCCTGACCACTGCTGTCCACTGCCAGGGAGAGACAGGCCAGTCCAAGCTCATGCCCTGTGCTTCCCTGGAAGCTGCCAAGAAGGACTTTGAGAAGAAGTTTCGAGAGAAGACCAAGAACAGCTGGGCAACAAGGGAGAACTTTGTTGCCCACCCAGGGAAGTACACGCTCATTGAGGTGCAGCCAGGGGCTGGGCAGGAGGTGGAGGCTACACTCAGGGTGAGTACTGAGAGATTGTCACCATGGTGGGATGGTCCTCATTGCAGTCCTGGCCCACTGAACACCAGAACATCCAAGAGAGTCAGCAGGATGGGATGGGTTTTGAGGGGGGTCTGGGTGCTTGCTGAAACAGCTTGCTGGCAGAGATTTGGGGCTAATGGGTTAAAATGGAGTGGGAGGGCATCCTGAATGAGGAACATGGCCTTGTGGGTGGCATGAGCCATGGACAGTGGAGGCAGCACCTGCCCACTGCTGTGCTGCCCCAGGACCAGGCTCTCCTCAGAGAGGTGGGCAGCCCTGGTGCTGTGCTCCCACAGCCTCCTGCAGGCCCACAGCTGATGTGGGGTGTCTGCAGGTGGATGCCGTGGATGGGAACAAGGTCTGCAAGCAGCGGGTGCTGCCCTGCACCTTGGACAGCACCACACAGGAGCTGGTGTCCCTCATCTTCAGCAGTGACATGTTCCGGGATGCCATGCAGACCATGAATATCGGTAGGAGGTGCTGGGTTGGTGGCTGGCATGGGCTCCCTCTGGGGGGTGCAGGTGGGAAGGTGAACGGAGCAGAGGTGCTGATGGACTTGAGAGCATCCCCTCTGATATCCTGGCACCTGATGGGACTGTGGACACCCCATGCTGGGTGCCCACACTTGCCCACAGTGATACTGGAGGTTCTTGGAAGTAGCTGCAGGGTGAGTGGGTGAGTGGTTCACCTTGTCCTCCCTGGTAGATGTGAAGAAGATGCCTCTGGGGAAGCTGAGCAAGCAGCAGATTGCAAGGGGCTTTGAGGCACTGGAAGAGCTGGAGGCAGCGCTGAGGGAGCAGCCCCCCCAGGCCACTCGCCTGGAGGAACTCTCCTCACGCTTCTACACCATCATCCCCCACAACTTTGGGCGGGCACGGCCGCCCACCATCAACTCCCCTGACCTGCTGCGTGCCAAGAAGGACATGCTGCTGGTGAGATGCCAGAGCACGTAGCATGTGACATCCCCTCCTGGTGGGGCAGGAGCTGCTGGCAGGAGACTGAGCTTGCCATGCTCCCCCAGCACAGTGCCCAGCACTGGTGCTGAGGATGTCCCTGCTCTGTCCCTGCCAGGTGCTGGCTGACATTGAGGTTGCACAGAGCCTGCAGGCACAGAAAGAGAAGGAGGAGGAGGAGAAAGAAGTTGCCCACCCACTGGATCAGGATTATGCCCTGCTGTGCTGCCAGCTCTCCCTGCTTGACCCAGGTTCCCGGGAATACCAGGTGCTGCTTGTGCCACAGTGTCCCATAACGGGAAACAATTATGTCAGGCCTGTGGGCACCCCAAAGGTTCCTGCTGTCCCAGGGGGACCGTGGGCATTGCTGAGATGGCTGCCTGGAGTGACACAGCGTTTTTGCCTCCCCCTTGGCAGATGATCCAGACCTATGTGACACAGACTGGGCACAAACTCCACATCCTCAACATCTGGCAGGTGGCCCGAGATGGTGAGGTGAGGAGGAGGTGATTCTCCCCATGTCACACTGGGGAAGCCATGGTTGCACCCCAGGATTGCTGTAGGGCTTCTCCCTACAGGAGGAGATTCAGCCCAGCTGGCCAGGGCCAAACAGGCACCCATTCTCCTGCCCCTCCAGCCAGGCACTGGGGCTGGTCTGGGGGAGGTGGGTGGCAGTCCTCCACCCCTGGGCACCCGTGTGTCCCTCTGTGGGCAGCCTTTAGCTGTGCATCTCTCCAGGCTGAGCGTTTCAAGGCCCATGACCTCCTGGAGCACCGGCGCCTGCTGTGGCACGGCACCAGCGTGGCGGTGGTGGCGGCCATCCTGAAGAGCGGGCTGCGCATCATGCCCCACTCCGGCGGGCGCGTGGGCAAGGGCATCTACTTTGCCTCAGAGAACAGCAAATCAGCCTGCTATGGTGAGGGTCCTGGGATGGGCTGGGCTGCTTGTGATGCCCACAGGCTCCGTGTGAGCATGGCTGCCTTTGCATACCCCCTGCCAGGCAGCTGTGGGCCTGCCGAGCCCCTTCCCTGCCATGGTAATTGGTCCCTGTGCTCCAGCGTGGCCTGGGCACGACCAGTTGGAAGTACCAGGGGTGGTGCTATCATTCCCATCCGTTTCTCCCATGGCAGTGGGCCATACATCTAAGAATGTTGGCATCATGTTCCTGACGGAGGTGGCCCTGGGCAAGCCCTACCGCATCACCTGTGATGACCCCACGCTGTGTCAGCCACCTGCTGGCTATGACAGTGTCCTGGCCTGTGGCCGGACAGAGCCAGGTGAGCTGGGGGCAGGAGGGCTGTGGCAGCTCCGGGGCTGTGCTGCACACAGGGCAGGGGGAGAGAGGCCAGATCTCAGGTTTCATGTGGTGCTGGGGTGTCTTCTGGCCCAGATCCTGCACAGGATCAGGAGGTGCTGCTGGATGGCAAGAAGGTGCTGGTGTGCCAGGGCAAGCCCATCCCCATGCCCGCCTACAAGGACTCCTCCTTCAGCCAGAGCGAGTACCTCATCTACAAGGAAAGCCAGTGCCGGATCCGCTACCTTGTCCAGCTCCGCTTCTGAGGCTGCCTGGGAGCACCACGGCCCTGGCCCAGCACCAGGAGGGGACACCCACCAGCCCAGAGCACAGTGATCTGGACTCTGGCCATCCCACCTGGGGCTTGGCAAGGGACAGGCTGGCATGGGGACTGAGCTTGCTTTGATTGTGAATAAAAGCACTGTGCCTTGCACCGGGTGGTGCTCTTGCTTTCCTGCCCAGCAGGCGGGTGTGCTGTAGGGAAGGGTGTCAGTGGGTCCCTGAAGGGATGGCATGGGTGGCTCTTGAGGGGCTGAAGCCTTCAGATGAAAGCTGGTGTCTTTGGGAGGCAGCTGCTCTCATCACCTTAGCAAGGCACACGGCTCATGCCCACCCTGTGGCATCAGACCTACAGAGGATGAGCAAGATCTCAAGATCTGCTGCCCTGCCTGGGCACAGAGGAATTCATCCATCCATCCTGAGGGCGAGTGCCTGCCCTCCCTCTAGTGCCATGCCTCATGCCATGTCTGCTGTCCTGCTCCAGCCTGGCACCCATGCCAAGCCCTTTTCTGTGCTCACGTGTGCCCCTTGAGCACACGTCCGGGTGCTCAGGCTGCCAGGGAAGAGCAACTCCCAGCTGTGCCACCCTGATGCCCCGGGTATCAGTTACCCTGATACCCTGTGCCAGTGGAGATGATTTGCTGCAGACCTGCCTGTAGCTCTGTCCCTTGAGCCCAAGGAAATTGAGTGCTGAGGTGTTCCTGTGGAAGGACCAGGCTTGGTGCAGGGGGTGGCCATTCTGGGGGGGCACAGGGCGCAGGAACCCCCCTCCCTGAGCCCCCGCCGGCTGCTAGGACCCAGCAGCTGTCCCCGTGGGACTGCCACGGGTGCAGGCAGCGCCGGGAGTGACAGCTGGTGCCATCCGCAGCTGGCGGGCTGCAGGCAAACAGGATGACGAGCGGGTGACGGGAGCGGGGAAGGGCGAGCGTGGCCTCACAGGGCCGGCAGCCCCGCTTCTGCTGCCGGAGCACCAGCAGCAAGCAGGACCCCGCTGAGGAGAGGAGCATCACCCACCTCCCCAGGAGAAAAGGTGCGCTGAATCCCACCCACCCTGGGGTCCCCTGTGGCCAGAGCAAGAGGGTTGGGACAGGCAAGTTGTGCTGTTCCACCTCAGGACATACTGGTGCCATTGAAGAGGGGGGACGGGGTGTCAGCCTGGCGTGGGTGCCCACAGGACCTAGCTATGCTATCCCTGGCCAGACTGGGAACAGCCTGGGTGGCAGCTCTGGGAGAGCCAGGGTGATTTGACTTCACTGGCTACCTCTCCCTCCTCCAGCACCTTGGAAGTGTGCTGGTTGTCTCTGTGTTTCTCTGTGGCTCTTCTCCATTTTGGTTCATTCCCTTCACACCTGGTTCCTGATCCCAACAGGCAAGGAGAAGGTATCAGCCATGGCTGTGGTGGGGTTACCCTCTCTGGGACACAGGAGAAGAGCCCTTGCTGCCCAGGCACCAGAGCTGCTGGCTTAGCCCTGGAGGGGGATGCCGAGCTGGACGGGGTCAAACACCACGGACAGCCTAGAGCTGCTCGCCATCCCCAAGCACTCCATCGGCGAGGAGGTGGTGGGCCTCTTCTGCATGATCCTGCTCACCCTCACCGCCCTGGTGGCCAACATCGTGGTGATGGTTATCATCCTCAAAACACCCCTTTTCAGGAAGTTCATCTTTGTCTGCCACCTCTGTGTGGTCAATCTCCTCTCAGCCATTTTCCTCATGCCCCTGGGGATCATCTCCAGCTCCTCCTGTTTCAACTGGGTTATCTACAGCATTGCTGAGTGCAAGGCTGTGATATTCCTGAACATCTGCTTCATCAGTGCCTCCATTCTCACCATCTGTATCATCAGCGTGGAGCGGTACTACTACATCGTCCACCCCTTGAGGTATGAGGTCAAGATGACCATCAGGCTGGCGGTGGCTGGAGTGGTTTTCATTTGGGTCAAGTCAGTTCTCATCACTGTCTTGGCACTAGTGGCATGGCCTCATGGCAATGGGGCCACCAGTGCCAGCCGCTGCACAGTCTACTGGAGCCCTGGGGCCCACAAGAAGGTTTTTGTGATCCTCTTCAGCATCACCTGCTTTATTCTGCCCACCATCATCATCCTCGCTGTGTACTCCAGCATCTACCGCGTGGCCCGGACTGCGTCCCTGCAGCAGGCACCTGTGCCAGCACAGGCAGTTGCACCCAGACACCGATGTGACTCCATCGCCAGCCAAGTGACCATCCTCACTGCCAGGATCCTGATGCTGCCCAGGCTGATCCCGGATCGCCTTCTAGGAAGCAACAAGGCCATCCTCACCTTGGTCCTCATTGTGGGACAATTCTTGTGCTGCTGGCTGCCTTTCTTTGCTTTCCACTTGCACTCCTCTGTCACTGTTGGCACTGTGGGTGGTGGGCACGGGGAGATGGTGGTCACCTGGATTGCCTACTCCTCCTTTGCTGTTAATCCTTTCTTCTATGGGTTGCTGAACCGCCAAATCCGTGAGGAGCTGGCCCGGCTCCGGCGCAGCTGTCTTAACCATCCACTTGGTCAGGAGCTCTGTCTTTCCATCTCAGAGGCTTCTGTTCAGGAAAACTTCTTGCAGTTCCTCCAGAGAGCAACTTGCACGCTGGAGACCCACACCAGCTGCATCAGCCCCAGCCCCAGGAACAGGCTGGACCAGACCACAACGGGCTTCCCCACCCCAGATCAAGTTCCCGAAGAGAACAGCTGAGAAGGAGGCTCTGTCCCACTGTGCTGGGCAGGAGACCTGCCAGGGACACATCAGACCTGCTTGGACCAAACCTCTTGGATTTGCATTTGTGCAGGCTTTACCTCTTCTCTGAGCTTATGGTAAAAGGTGGTGTCTCCCCTGGGAGAAGGTAGCAGATCTGAGGAAGTCACGTCTCTCTTCTGCAGGCTGGAATTGTCTCTGGCTCCACCAGCACAGTTCCAGGGATGGGCTCTCCTCAAGACATGGACCGTGCAGGGGCAGGGGATGGGACCCCTCCATCTCCATTGCCCCGATGGAGCACGCTTGGCCAGCGGGGAAGGGCCGATGTCCCTTGCACTCTATCCAGGAGCAACGTTCCAGATAATGCCACTAACACCAGTAACACCAGGGCCCCGAGCCCCTGCTGAGCCTGGATGGCAGGATGGAGACTTCCATCCTTGGCTGTTTAACCCAAAACTAATGTCTGTGTGGAGGGGCTTCTGCTCCCTGTGACACTGATCAGGGGGACACACCCACAGGGCTGGCTCTGGCTGTGTCACTGTTTGTCCTGCTGGCATGGCAGCATGCAATGCCCGTGGCCACGCTGGCCATGCTCTCTGTCTCTCTCAGCTGGCAGTGATCACCACCCTGGGGGGGAAATGGCTGTCTGGGGGTCTGTGCCGGGCTGTTTATGGACACAGCTGCCCAGTTTGAAGCCTGGTCAGCAGTGCCACGTGCCAGCCGAGTTGGGCTGCTAGCCAAGGGCACACTGGGTTGGACATGGTGACACAGGGTGGTGGGGGTAGCTGTGTGGGCTGCCCCAGGGCAGCAGCAGCCAGAGGGGATCAGGACCTGCTGTTCCTTTTCAGTCTCATTGCTTTTGAAGGGCTTGGGGACACTCTCATAGGGTCCCCACTGCTAGAAAGGGGACTGGACCCTTTTGGGGCATGCTGCAGGGGTACATCACCCTCTGCCTGCCCACAAAGGCCCCAGGGATGGTGTTGGCATGGTGGGTTGGAGATGTCCTACTCCAGTAGTAACTGAAGGCCTGAGGGAAACTGCCCTATGGCCTCTCTAACTGCCCTGGGGCAGGAAGAGGCTCCAGGAAGACGCCCAGAGAGATGGGGCTGAAGGCCAGCATCCCCCCCTAGACACAGGGATGCCCTTCCAGCCACCACCCAAATACCCAGAAGCTGGGGCCACCCTTGCTGTGGGGGAAGTCTCCACCCAGGGTGGGGAATATTATTATTATTGTTATTTTCTTGTAAATTTTATCTTTTTATTAAACCATTGATAAGTTACAAAGGAGGAAAAAATATAGACTCATATATATACAGCATTTCCAAGCCAGCAGGGACTGGCTCTTGGATGGGGTTGCTGGGAGGCGATTGCCCCAGGGTGGCCCAGGGAGGGCCCCCACCAGAGCCAGTGGAAGCAGAACTCCTGGAGAGGCCAGGCAGTCCTCATCCAGTGGAACCTGGCTTTTGGGTGCCAGATGGAGTGTGGGCATGAGCAGGATGGCAGGGGAGGCAGGGTGAGGAGCAGGAAGTAGGGGTCCCACACCAGCACTGGGAGAAGGGACCCTAGGCCAGCAGGGACAGCCCCCCACCCAATACTAGGACACATGGTCTCTGTGCAGAAAATCAAGGAGGGGGGCACAGAGCTGCTGGGATGGACAGCAGGCAACAAAACAGCCCCTTCCTCCAGCAGGCATCACCACCAGGAAGGCCCTTCCCTTCCCTGGGGTGGGGGACATGGGGCACCTGGCAGAGGCTGAGGTCAGGGTGGGTGGCAGGAAGGTGTCCCTGCTACTGTGTAGCACCCTGGACCCCCTGGCCCAGCCACCAGTGGGGTTCAGTAGGGCGAGAACTTCTGCCGGTCAGCTTTCTTGGTGCCGTTGGCCGCCGAGATCTTGGTCGTGTAGGTGGTGGTGCCACCATTGGGACCTGCCACGGAGGATGGGGACAGTGCCAGGAAGGACACCGGCTTCAGGCCGATGAAGTTGGAGAGGGAGATGGCGTAGGGGGTGCCCAGCAGGGCCGGGGGGGCTGGGGCCACGGCGGGAAGAGCCGCACCGGAGCCTGGGGCGAGGGGCTGGGAGAAGCCCATGCCGAGGTCCATGGAGCCAGGGCCTGGTGGCACCTGGGAGGTAGATTTAGCAGTCTCTAAGCTGGGAAAGTAAGAGAGAAGAATGATGGTGAGTACCATGGTGACAGAGTGGTTGTCCCACCACAAGCTTAGGGTGCAGGAACTGCGCACCCCATCCTTTCTGGCACATGTATCCATGACATATCTTGGGTTAAAAAACTGGGCCTCAGATCTGGTGGGTCACGGGTCTTGCGCCTACCACCTCAGGATCTCAAAGCACCACCCAGCTCATTCTTCCTGAGGATGCTGTAGATCCTCCAAAAGCTGCCTTGAGGTGCTGGAGAAGAGCACCCCTCACTAACACCCAGCATGAGTCCC